TTAGTCTGCAGTCTTCAAAAGTGTGGTCTGTAGTTGGCACATTCAGGGCACTGAAGTATAGCAGAACATACAAAAATATTAACAAAGCGAATTTTAAATGAATTTTTTTTGTCTTCTCATCATGCCCTCAAATGCTGGATTTAACAATGCATAAATGCCAAGATTTTCATTATGGAAAGCTGGTTACTGGAACATTCTGTTCACATGTATAATCAGATTCAATCCAGAAATAGTACAAAAGTGTCAAAAGAGATGTTTGGGATTCTGCTCTCAATTATTTTCACCCAGTAGCCACAGCAGAGAAATGCATCTGTCAATTCTGTATGAAGGAGTCAACAATTTACTGCAGCTTGATTACCGATTACAATTCGATTACTATATGCTTAACCAAGTAGGAACTCCTGGTTACAGAACCCTTTATACCCCTTATACCTAACTGTAAGATTCAAATAATTGTCCTACAGTTCTGAAATGACCTAGGACTCCTTGAATTATTTTAAATCCCTAAACTATTTAACATATTTTTGAATCGGTGCCCAATATTTATATGCAAACTTTTTTTGTTGTGCTGGGGTGTTATTTTAGAGACATACGTAGCCATGTTGTTACGGACTCTGTTGGCAAAAAGAACAGGATCCTTCTTCTCTTCCTCAGTAGGAACGTGGACAGACAGAAACTGAAAGATACAATTTATTCTGTAAATCCATATAGTTACTAACTTCTTACTGACAGAATCCTATGAATCACAGGTGCTGACTTATTTTTGCAGGGGGAGGAGGAGAGGGGAAGGGCGGCTAAGATGATGGACATGTGGAACATTTTATGCATTTTAGGTGACATCCCTCTTCCCGAGGGGCCCAGGGCCCTTGTGCCCCCACATACTTGGCACCTCTGCCATGAATAAACTTTATGTAAACAAAAAGTTAAAATGGTCATTCCTGCAATTAAAGCAACAGCCACTAGAGGTCTCCACAGCCCTAAAAACTGTTTTTTTTCTTTTCCCAAGAAGCCATTACATAGACTAGTGCTTCTCAATCTTTTAACTAGCAAGTACCCCCTAATTTTCAAAAGTACCCCAACACTCAATTTTCCAGGGGATTTTATATTTACAGACTAATGTGTGCCATATGCTGGAAAAAGGGCTGTGTATATAAGGCCGTGCGTGATATGACAGATGTCTGATCTGGTGTAGGTAGGGTTGCCACCTTTTACACCAGGGGTGCACAACTCAGATATGTACCTGGGCTAGAGGTGATGTTGGCCAAAGCTAGGAGGGATGAACCAAATTATTACTGGGGAATTTAAAGCGCTGTGCAATATGTGGAGCACCATTTTTTTTTTGCCATAGTTTTGAGGAAAAGAGGGCGAGAGAGAAAGTGTTGGGGTACCTGCATACCCCCTGCCCGTGTGTTGCATAACCCCAGGGGTACATGTACCACAGGTTGAGAAACTATGACATAGACTATTAGATTTCTTCCAGAGTTAAAACAAAGCTTGGTAAGATTTGTTGTAGCTGTTTCAATAAAAAAGCAGAACACAAAAGGAAAATGGGCTAAATATACACTTCATTAAAAAGTTGGACTCTAATAACATTTTGATTTCACAGACCCAATGATATATTTCTGAAATATTAGTGCCCTTAGTACATAAGCTCCTGGTATTAGACACAACCTAAATAAAACCCCTATTAAGTTACTGGAAACACACCAATGCTGTAGTTAGTTTGTAAAAATGTTTGTCACAGTAGGTTATTACTCACTTGGTGAAAAACATTATTCAGAATTAGAGGCATGGCAAACAACTGCTAATGAATGTAAAAAAAAAAAAGAGGAAAATAACTTTATAAATGGGATGAAGTATAACGCGTTCAAATTCCAAAGATGGTAAACAGAATAAATACATGAATGGTAACAGGTTCTGGATAAGCAAATGACTTTTTAAAAGTAAAACAGAGGATGATATGAATAAGGTGCTTGTATAGAAAGTTCACATACGTTGTTAAATCTCCTGAATCATGTC